TTTTCTTTGTAAAAGTTGTGGGACCTGTGACAGACATGGACCACAGACCACACGACTCTCTTTACTTGAAAGCATTTCAGGTGCCCGTCATTGTTACATCTTGACTCCATTATGTGTGTCTCTCTATATAAAAAAGTTTTTCCTGTGGGACAACAGAGTGACATCATCACTGTGACGGGGTGAGGTCATAGACGACCCCTTGGGGGTGACTCCCGGGGTGTTGACAAGGCCACTGCCACCCTTCTTTTTGCTCTCTGGGGCTTCTCACCGCTCTGTCCTGCGGGGTCTCTCCCAGCCAAGGCACAGAGCTGAGTATTACAGCCCCCCGAGAAGCAGTACAGACACTGAATCTCTTCAGGTCCAAGGAAGATGCAGTTTTGGACCCAGCTTCCTGGGATACCATTCCCCAAATGGGATCAAATCCCCCAATGAATTATTTGGGGAAGCCCCCTTTAGCAATGAAGGCCTGTGAGGCCTCGGAGTCGGGGGCGGGGGGGGAGAGAGGAGCAAAAGTCCTTAGGCTGGTGGTGGCAGGGAGAGGAAAAAGGGCCCAGACTGCACGGGAGGAGGGAGGAAGAGAGGGTCAGGGCTGGCATGGCTGGGGACCCAAATGGGATCAAATCCCCCAATGAATTATTTGGGGAAGCCCCCTTTAGCAATGAAGGCCTGTGAGGCCTCGGAGTCGGGGGCGGGGGGGGAGAGAGGAGCAAAAGTCCTTAGGCTGGTGGTGGCAGGGAGAGGAAAAAGGGCCCAGACTGCACGGGAGGAGGGAGGAAGAGAGGGTCAGGGCTGGCATGGCTGGGGAAAGGCCAAAGGGGCCAGGCTGGTGTGGGCGAGGAGGGAGAAAGGGCCCAGGCTGGCGCAGGGGAGAGGAGGAGAAAGGGCCCGGGCTGATGCAGCTGTGGGGGGGAGGAGAGAAGGGGGGGAATCCGGGGTTGTCTACCCCCGCAAGAGGGGGGGTTGGCGAGTGTAGCGAGCTGGACCCTATTTTTTTTCAAAGAGATCACTTCCTGTTAGGAAAGGGCCCAAACTTTCCTTCCCTCATTCACACCTCAAAGCTGATAAGGCTCAGAGGGGTGGCTGTGTTAGTCTGTAACCCTAAAAACGAGTGTGTGTGTGTGTGTATGTGTGTGGGGGGTCCTGTGGCATCTTAGAAACTAACGTGTGTGTGTGTATATACACACACACACACACACACACACACTGTCAGCATAATGAGCTTTCATGGGCAAACCCCACTTCTTCAGATGAGTTGTGAGAAGTTAAATCTTTGGATGGGCAATTCCAGGAGGGTTGTCTTAGTGTTTTTTTAAATACCTTGTCTGTGTTCCTGTTGTTTGTCTGTAGTTTTTCCCAGCCTGGCTACTCAAGTGACTCCTGCAAACGTCAAAGGCTGGCTTTTCCAGAGCTTGGGGCTTTATGATCCCAAGGACACTCAGTACTTAAGCAGGGTCAGTTGTTGGGGCTGTTCAAGGACCAGGTTGAGATGGGGTGAATCTGTGACAGGATTCTGAAGAAGTTGGGGTACCTGTCTAACACTGCGGGGGAGGAATGGTAAGCTCTACATACACAGCCCTGTGTTTTGTTTATTTTTTTGGTTTAAGCTCTTTGCCGTCTTCTGCTCGTTGGTGTTCCGACTGTTAAGCATAAGAAATACTTCGTTTTGGCCAAGCTGGTGGGTCACAATGGATATATACCACTGGTTTATAATTCCCACAGGGCAAAACCGCAGGTACCTAACCGAAGTGGAACCTGCCCAAGTAATCTTGGTGAGCACAGGAGTCTGCACTCCAGCTTCTAGTCTAAGAGTGGGAGAATCTGGTGACTCCAACCCACAAGAAGCAGCTTTTCACCTGAAGAGATGTACGCGGGCAGAGCCATACAGGGAACTCACCCCATAACCGTAACTGATCTCCACTGCAGCTCTTGAAGGGAAGAAGTTTGCATTTCTTTAAGGCTGTTTTAATTTTTCTTGTATTCCTTCTTTTTCCCATCTCCTTGAAATTAAGCCTCATTAGGTGTCTTTGCAAAGACGACTCACTTTTACGGCTGTGTTGAATCATGACTAACACACGTAAGCCAATGCAAAATGTCATATAGGGCCAGAAGTATGTGAATATACATGGAATTAGGGTAGCGTATGCAAAAATGGGCATTAATCCATCCACAGCACATTAGCTCTGTAGAACGCTGGGATTGCCACTTTTTCATTAATGCTTTTAAGTACTGAACGCTTGAAAGGCACTAGTCATTCATTTATTGCCAATTTCAGGTTGGCCTAACTGCTGGCATTTCCAAGAAAACAACAAAGTATGCTTTGATGTTTGCAACAAAAAGGGATTAATACTCTGCCAGCAATTAGCAGATAGTCTATAGAAGAACAAGTTTGGCTGTAATGATACTTTGCCTAATTTTTGGAAGGACTATCTTATTAATGTTGGTGAGCATCTATATTGCAATGGTAAGGGCTCTAAGTGCTAATGTAGATTATAATCAGATTTCATCATGTTAAAAAAATCTGTATGTACATAGCTTCCCTATCTTGACTTAACAGTTCTAACAGCTAGTGCAGAAATATTAAACTAAACAAGCCTGACAGTAACATTTGAAAACATCAGCGTTCCTGCAGGGAATCTCTCATCCAGGTAAATCATCTGGATTGTCTTTCTGTTTTAAATAAATGGGAAATATGTCTCTAGCCCCTTGGCATTTTCTGCAGCCTCACTGCAGGTTTGACAGGGCATTGGATAAGAAGTGCCCCCCGCTGAAACCAGCCTTTACAGCCTGACTTGTTCTTCTGCAGGTTTTAGACTAATTGAATGGAGATTACTTCCCCCTTTTTTATTACAAACATCAAAAGAATTGTGCGGGCTTAGTTCAGTGTGTAATTGCAAGATCACCCTCCCATTTTAAATATGATTATATACTCCGGAAACAATGGGACTTTGTGATTCATCAGTACATGAACATTCACCTGTGATCATTTGAATGCGTGAGATTTTAAAAACTGCCTTTTAGTGTGGCATGAGAAAGTTGCTTATTTCTGTTTACGTGTATAATGGGTGGGATTTTCAAAAGTCCTTGGCTCCTGCCTAATTCTGGTCCCACTAACTTTAGTGGGAGTAGAATGATGCCAACACTGGTTCTGAAAATCCAGGCCAAATGTGGATGTGTGTATTGCCGTCATCATTACAGTGCCAGCATTTGCCGACAGTTACCACGTGTTGGTACCCGAGAAAGCATTGTTAAATCAGTTCTGAGGTATGTGAAAATATTGTTGTATCTCAGATGCATGGGGCCTGCTTCTGACCTCCTTTATGGTGGTGTGAAGCAGGATAGCTGCATTGATTTTGAAGAAGGTACATCCATTTTGAGATCAGAAACTGCATTGGCTTCAGTGGAGTTATCCTGCTCCACGCTGATGTAGCTGAGATCAGAATCAAACATGCTGTTTAATAATTGTTGATTTTTTTTAAAGGTAACGTGTGTGTGTGTGTGTGTGTGTGTGTGTGTGTGTTCCTTTTAATAGTAGAGGTTCGAGTATCTAGGCTAGTGCCTCTTACTGCAGTTCATTAGGGCTTGAATTTATGCAGTAGTCCGACTCGTTCTGTATTTTTCAGTCCTGTAGGCAAATGGAGTTTTGACTTCAGTGGGTGTTCTGACGGTGTCTGGAGTTCAGGGTTTGGTGCCATGTATGAATCGATTCCTTATAAATGCACTCTCCATTGCATCTGAGTAGGTCATTTTGTCTTAAAAAAAAAGTATTATGAATCCAGCTTCTTGCACAAGGTAGTAAATCAGTTTCATCACACTGACTAAGAAAGTTTCAACTGAACAGTACTCTGATGCCATTTGAGCCAGTGTAACTGCTGATGGGCAGATTTGAACTTGGGAACTCTATAGCTCAATTGTAGAGACTCCTACACTAAAGCCAGCTGGCTCTTAGCTCAGGCTGTAGAGCTCCCTTGATCTTATCTCTTGCTGCAAGCAGTCTAAATGCCACTCAATGGGACAGTGAACCACACTAGGTGTGTGGGTTACACCAGCATGATGTTACATATCTGTACAAACAAAGAGGAAGTCAGTCCCTGGCTCTAGAAGTTGATAGTATAAATCAAATACAAATATGTATGCTATAATAATGTGTTTACTTTTTTCCTTGTATTCCTTTGGTATATATGGTCATGCCAATTCTCTTTCAGAATATGGTCTGAGGAAGTGGGTCTGGCCCACGAAAGCTCATCACCTATTAAACCATCTTGTTAGTCTTTAAAGTGCTACATAGTTTTTCCTTTTGTTTTATGCTCAATGTGTGTGCTTGGGCGGTCGGTGCAGCTAAGGCTTGGGAGGCAGGCTCCTAGACCTACCGACAGCCCCTCCCCCTCTGCTGAGGCCCCGCCCCCACCACCGGGAGGGAGGGAGAGGAGCAGCAGCTTGCCGAGCACACGCGTGCACCCCCACCACCACCGTGGGGAGGGGAAGAGCACGTGGCAGCATCCCCAGGAGCAGCGGGGAGGTAGGAGGCCAAGTGGCCTCCTTAGCCCCAGAGTAGCGGGAAGGGAGGTGTCTTTGCGGCCTGAGCTGACCCACGCCTCCCTGTCCCTGGTAGCAGCAGGGAGGGAGGAGGTCACATGGCTTCAGCCTCCCAAGCCCCCGGAGCACTGGGGAGGGAGCAGCCCGAGCCGGCCCGGAGCACAGGGAGGGTGGGTGCTGGGGGCAGCAACACTCTGCCTTCAGTACACCTCTAGCAGGTGTTCTGGGGCTGGAGTATGTGAGTGGGGGGGGGCAGGCTGGCAGTTTGGGAGGCAGAGCCTTCCCTGCCCCAGCCACCGGATGCCCGTGTGTGCGCGTGTTTATAAAAAGACACCCATCCCAAGGCCTGCATAGAGAAGTGTGTTTTATGACTTGCATATGGTCCTATAACCTAGATTCACAGCCTGAGGTCTAACAGTACAGAACCAATGTTGCTGATCATGCTTTATTGTTTTATGTCATTGCAGAGTCGTCTTAAAGAAGCTGTGCAGTTGCTGGAGGATTATAAACATGGGACTTTACCCCCAGGAGTCACCAACAAAGAGGTAACACATACGAGTAGCTGTTTACTGGATTCCTACATGTGCCTGGACAACTTTACTGAAGAAAACAAATGTCTGTAGCTAGTCCGTCAGTTTGGTCCTTTCCTGGCTTTGTACTGTCATGGCTACCCCCAGTTATCATCTGCTACTGATTTGTTTTTAGTGTTACTTTAAAAAAAAAAAAAAAAAAAGTCCGTAATGATGGTAAAGTTGATGACTATCATGGTGCTGGGATCTGAGCTGGAATTAGTTGCAATGCCAGTATTTGCTCCCTCTGGAAGGATCTGGATATTTTATACTAGCTATTCCATGTTCTTTTTGGCATTGGGTATCACAGCTTGATGCGTATCACGTTAATGCTCATAATTTGACAGAAATCATAGACATATAGGCCTGGAAAGGACCTTGAGAGGCCCTCTCGGCCATCCCCCCTGTACCAAGGCAGGATCAAATGTACCCAGGCCATCCCTGATGGGGGTTTGTTTTTTGTTTTTGAGGCATTAAAAAAATAAAGCTGAGGAAAAGTCCACTAAAGGTGGCTTAACCTATAAACATGTTGACTAAAAATGATTATTAAACGTGAGTATAACATTTAAAATTAAAGAATTGTGCGGATTAAGAATAACATTCAGCACCAGCACTACCCCAGCTCTCACAAAACGGGTGTTTTTCTAGTTCAAGATCCAAAACAATATGTTGCTTTCTTCATTAAGCTGAAGTCTCACACCAGGCAGGTCACCGTGTTCATGTACTGACTGCCAGACTCGTCTATAAACACTTCCTTTTTCAGGGGTCACGTTGATTGTTGATATAGCCTCACTGAAATAAGTGCACTTACATTATATGTCTCCTCCAGCTATCATATCCTGTTTTAGGGTCTCACTGGGGCTCAGGTAAGAGATAGATGTCTGGACACTTAGGGTACGTCTAAACAGCAACGTTATTTCGGAATAACTAACATTAGTCCAAAATAACAAAGAGCATGTCTACACTGCAAGCCGTTATTTCAAAATAATGGCGAACTGGAGGACTTCTTACTCCAACTCCTGTAACCCTCATTTCACGAGGAGTAAGGGAAGTCCTTCGACTTCCTGTTGTATCGACAGTGCCAAAAGCCAAAGGAAGCTCTTTTGACTTCAGCTACTCATTGATGTAACTGAAGTTGCGTAGCTTAATTCAACTTTTGCCCTGCTGTGTAGACATGCCCTTAGAGTGAAGCAACAGTGTGCGTGGTTTCTTTGACAGGGTTACTGGCTAGGGGATGGGAGAAGCAGTAGACATGATCTATCTGTATTTTAGTAAGGCTTTTCACACAGTCCCACATGACATTCTTATAAGAAAACTAGTGGTGTGTGGCCTAAATGAAATTCTAGGTGGCAGGTGCAAAAGTGGTAGAAAGAGTTGAAATCAGTGACTTGCTGAAGACCTGCAGGATAAACTGTGAAACCTTTATTAGCAGTTCAAATGGTCCAGCAAAAACCTACTCTCTGGTTGTAGTACACTGGACATCTTGTTTTGAATGAACCGTTAAAGTAATATGCCACCTGACTTTCTGTAACGAGTATTAACATTGTCCCTGCCAATATTCAACACTGTCTTCGTTCCATTCAGTGACTATTGCCAGCGATTCTCTGGCTGCAGCCAAAGGCATAATAACTGTGTGTATTTTGTCTTTTTACATGTTCATTTTTCATGTACTGGCATTGTTTCACCAAGCAATGAAAACAGTCAGAAACTCTGTACCATCAAATGTTTTTTCAATACTTTTATCTCTTTGGCAGGGCTTTTAAAGAGAGATTTCTCCTCCTACATGGACTCCTGTAAACCTCATTTTTTGAGGAATAAGGGATCTTGCAAAAAGGGGGTTTTCCCCCCGACAAATAGCCCCGTCTACATGGAGCTTTTTAGGGGCAAAACCTCCTGCGCAAAAAGGATCGGCAGAAGATATGCAAATGAGAGCGCGATTTGCATATCGTCTGCGGATAAAAACGGCAGTGTAGATGCAGCCTAAGAATTGACACTAGAGTTGTAGATCTGTCTGTCCACTTAGAGGTGCCGGTGTTTGTGATCCTTGCTGATGGGGGAGAGAAATGTCCCAATGTCCCACCTTTCTCTGTGTACAGTAATTCCTCATTTAACACTGTCGATGAGTTTCTGAAAATGTTTGTGCTAAGCAAAAACGTGCTATGCGGGTCAATTTTCCCATTAAAAATAATAGAAAATGTGGGTGTTGCGTTTCAGGTGGTGGTGGCAAAGTCCATTTTTTGTTGGTGCTTGGTCATCAACCGTCAACATTAGATATCTAGCAACACAAGATAACTAGCAACACAAATCGCTGCGGTTTGTTAAAACACAAAGATAAACACGTGAGTGAGTGGAGGAGTGCTGTGACAACGTGTATTCATCCGCTCAGGCGTATTACCACAGTTTTCATCAACTTATACCACTGCATGAAGTAGTCTGCCACTTGATTATCTTCGTGTTATTTCGGGGACGGTCGTGTTATTCGAAAAAGTTCCCTAAAAAAAAAAATCATGCTATTGCGAAAACGTGTTAAGTGGGCATGTGTTAAATGAGTAATTACTGTACAGAGATACCTTTGTATTTTTGTATTACTGAGAGCTCTAGCAGATTTCTTTGTCCCACCTGAGTGCACCCGTCAGCTTTCTCCCAGTTCCTTATTGATTTATTTTCATTTGCATTCATTACAAGCTTCTGTACGGTGAGAGAGGGGTAACATGTTACATGTAAAGGGCCCAATCCTGTAAGCCCTTTGTTTGCAGGTACCCCTGGCTTTTTGGAGGGCTGCAGGAGGGATTTGGCTTTTAGTATGAAACTCTGGTGCCTGGTGATATTTGAAAGGAGATAGATGAGACTGACACACACATGTGCCTTCGGAGCCAGTTTTCAGCAGAAGGTATAGACCATAACACATCCAATTCTAAACAGGGCAGCCAGTCCCAGACTTCTTCCTGGGGGGGCGGGCCTCCATTGGAATAAAGGCATTGTCGAAGAAAGACTTCTCTGAGGAAGAATGGCAGTCCCAAAAATATTGGGGGACTGCGTCACGCTGCTCGGTGCCCAGACACATCCTCCCACTGGAAAGCTTCACCACCTGCAGACGTTAAGATGTGACTTGTGTCCTTTATTCCCCGTCTCCTTTGCATCATTTGTCTAATTTGCAGAACTGCATCTGTGTCCTGTCTTTGCAAGAGTCCCTTTTCCAACCTGTCCACCCGGCCAGCACAGATTGGAAGAACAGATTGATGCTGGCATGTCAGGAGTGGTGAAAGTTGAAAGAAGCAGTATGTGATGTCTACCAGCTACACAGGAGAGGTTTGAAGACTCCTTGGGTGACAATACAGCCAGTTTCCCTTTTTCATTATTGCGCTCGGCGCTACACAAAAACACAGCGCAGGAAAAACAGGTGCCTGTCCCAAGGAACTTACCTTTGCATGCTGGCCGTGGACGATACTGCTCAGGCACAGGGTGCTGCTGTAGAAGTGCTTAATTAGGGCATGAGAGCTGGAAATGCTCTTTCACAAATTAAAGAACTGCCACATTCCTTCTACCCTCATGTTTGATGTAGGTCCAGAGAAGAGCAGCACACATGATGAAAGGGCTAGAAAAACGTGACCTATCATGGAAGACTGAAAGAACTGGATTTATTTAGTCTGGAAAAGAGAAGACTGATAGGAGACATAACAGCATTCAGGTAGGTTGTAACAAGGACGAGGGAGAAAAATTGTTCTCCTTAACCTCTTGAGTTTAGGACAAGAAGCAATGGGCTTAAACTGCAGCAAGGGAGGTTTAGGTTGGACATTAGGAAAAACTTCCTACCTGTCAGGCTGGTTAAACACTGGAATAAATTGCCCAGGGAGGTTGTGGAATCTCCATCACTGGAGATATTTAAGAGTAGGCTAGACAGACATCTATCAGGGATGGTCTAGATGGTGCTTGGTCCTGCCGTGAGGGCAGGGGACTGGACTCAATGACGTCTCGAGGTCCCTTCCAGTTCTAGCATTCTATGATTTTAGACTTTATCTTACTGAAATGGCCCAGCTCTTCCTCTTGGTGTGGTAAAACCTATCGAACTATAATGACAAACTAGTAGACTCACTTCCCCCCCAAACAACCTACTTACTAAGTTTAGCAAAACACGCCCATCCAACACACAGAGAAGGTCTGTTATTGAGCAGCACAATAAACCCAGGTCTCCAAAGTCCCAGACTCGTGCCCTTAATGCTGAACCTTTTCCCTTGTAAAAGAAAGTGTCTGCACATGTGTCCATGGAAACAGAGCTCTAGGTTGTGAGCTCTGGCTGCCCCAAACCAGAGAGAAGCTATTTTCTCTTGCCACAGAGGGCAATGTACGAGGCAGTGGGTTTCAAAGGGGAGATGCAAAAAGTCAGCGAAAAGGTAACCATGTAACCGCTGCAAATTGTAGCGGCTGCACACCCTGCCTACTGCAGAGCCTGTAGAGAGGATGGCAGCCCCTGCCAGCCTCACTCCCGGGGAGCCAGTGTGTAACCTGGAGGAGGGGGGCCTGGATTTGGGTTCCACAGGGCTGGAGCAGCGCCCTGCCCAGAGCAGGCCCCAACGGTTAACCAGAACCGATAAGCATCACCAGTTTAGGATGCTGCTTACTGGTTAGCCGGTGAACCTTTCACATCCCTAGTTCAAACTAAAGCACAGCGGATTTTGATTAAATCTTAGGAACAACTTCCTTCCTGTAAGAATAGGAAGACAGTGGAACAGATGCCCAGGGAGGTGGTGGAAGCTCCTTCACGGAAGGTTTTCAAGAGGAGGCTGGTGAGCCATCTGTCTTGGATGGGTTAGACACAACATATTCTGCACCTCGGCAGGGGGTTAGACTACATGACCTTTGCAGTGCCTTCTGACTCTATGGCTCTGTGATTGTAGGTCGAGTGTTTTCCTGTATGCGTGCAGGAAACCAAACACATCGTTGGGGGCCCAGGCAATATACATGGAAAAGAAGCGCCT